TGACAGATTAGAAAAAATATATATATAAATATATGTTTGACAAGCTTGAGGGAACTAAAAGAGAAGCAAGACCATAGAAGAGGTGGATGGACAGGTTCAAAGAGATTACTGGAATTTCTTTGGAAGACTTATAAGGTACTGTTAAAAACAGGCTGAGATGGCAAGCATTTATCCATATACTCATCAGGAGCTGGACCTGACTTGATGGTACCTAACTAATTCATTACTGGCTTGGCAATATTGCTTCTTGGATGTTTTAAGGGATAGCTGTAACTTAGTATGAAATGCAGTCATATAGCTATATACAACAATTCAAGATGGAAGCAAATCTGAGAATACAGATACTGTATACACTGATTCTAGAAAAAGCCTTCTGATTTTGTTTTATTTATGACTGGCTACCATACTGAAAAATACAATATTATTTTGTTACAGAAACTCTGACTTTTGCTTAGTACCGCCTATGTTATATTAAACTGTGATATACTGTATATAGATTGAGGGGTTTTTTTTCTTTCCCACAAGTCAGTCTTGACTCCTGGTGATTACATGGACAAGTCTATACTATTTTCTACATAACATTTTCACAAGTGGTTTGTCCTTGCCTTCTTCCTAGGGCTGGGCCAAAGTCACCCATTTGGCTTCTGTGACTGAGGCAAGTCTCCCCACTCCTAGTCCAGTGCCTTAACCATTAGACCAAACTGGCTCTTGTATAATTGACTAAGCTAGGCCAGTACATTTAAGAACAAACATAGCAACAGAATAACAACTGGTGGGTTTTTCCTTCCTCACATCAGGACCTATTCAACAATTTTCAAGAAAGAACATTCTGAACATGTACAGAAGACGTTTCAGAAAGATGGCTTCTGTCTGAGATGGCATGAGATGAAATTGAAGCCCAGTCCCTTTCATTTGCAATTAAATTGGAACACATGTGGCCCGGGTTTTGAGTCATGCATTTTAAGGGGAATGTCTGCACACCCACTTGGAAAAACTAAAAAAAAAAAAGCAACAACCAATACATCAAAGCTTTAAAAAAATGGCAAAGAACATTTCTGGTCACAGGCAGTTCAAAAACAGAAACACCCCAACTAAAGAGTATCTTTTCCTAAAATTGAAAGTATTGCTCCATCTATAATAATAGAAATAAAAACTGAGTTTGAACTGGGAAACACTGAAGTTTTGCATTAGTCTAACCAGCTTCAATGATAGTTCAATCACCAAAATGTAAAATAATAGAGTTCCTCCCTCTACCAAATAATTAATTCTGGTAATGCAGTAAACATCTTTCAAGGCATGCTTTTAGTATGACATCCAGATGAGCTTGGCATTCCAACTTCTCAGTTTAAAAAATCCAGACACTGTCCTCAGAATTGCAGTCAGAAGAAAAATATACGATTCAAACCAAGGGGAAGATCAAGGACAGAGGAATGACCTGCGTGGTGACTCAGGTTTCATTTCTTTTAGGATTGCAAATGCAATTCTTACTTCCCACACAGTCAGCTCCATTCCTTAGGCAACTAAATATTTTCCTTTAGCTCTAAATGTTAGCTATTGTGTTTTCTTTTAGAAGGAAATGGAAGACCAAGAAGCATCCAGCAGATAGCCAGAAGGTTTAGTACAAAGCCATAACATAAAACAAAACAATTTTATTCCTTTGGGAAGGTAGATAATTGTCCGGCTTAATTCTACACAAAGATGGAACGTCTGAGTCATTATATCTGTAATAACAGATTTAAATTTGAACGAAAGAGATTAAAGCAAATGCAGCAATGCAGTCAGCTAACTTTGTTTTTGTCTTTCCATTATTGTATATTGGAGAACCTGAAGCTAAAACAATTGCTGAAATATTGTAGATAGCAATGCTTGTTTATTTAAAAACTTTTCTAAAATATGGGCATGCTTCTTTGAATTCTAAGGCATTTAAGAGATGTAAAATTAATGGGGCTGGGCAAAGATTTGATCTGAAGGTTTGATGGGCTGTAACATGGAATGAATAGGGGTGGCAATATTTTTAGGTGGCAGGTGCATGTATGTAATCTTAACTCATAGAATAAGCACCAAATGCTTTTTAAAAGGTAGCATTTTGTAAGCCGTTATAGGAGAACACTGAATTTATTATTTTGCTTTGCATGTCCACAGGCACCATTTAGCAGGGCTCCAATGCTGTGCTACAACAGACTACACCTGAGTTATCTCTGGAATAAGTAAATCATACCGGCAGGGATGGGCAATCTTTTTTAGCCAGAAATTACTCTTTCCATTTAAAAAACATATTTAAGCTTTCAACAGGGGAAATACAGGGGAACAGTCAAGGGTGCAGTGATGCTACCAGAATAAGTGTGACCAAGACCTTTGGTTTTCATTTGGATAGAGCAAGAATGGATCCTTGTAAGGCCCTCCCATTCTAGAAAACAGGAGATATGGAAGGACATAGCAACCAAAAACACACAGAAATACTTTCCTTATCTGTAACAATGAAAAAAAAACTTGACTGGATATATTTTAACAGAACAATGATTTGAAATTCTATTAAATGGCTATTATTGTTTTACTAAACTTTGTACATTTAATTTAATTATATTAATTAAACCCCTTTCAGGGACTTTCAGGTGGAAGAAAGTGAAGGCTGTACCAAAGACTACATAGAAATTAGGGAAGGCAACTTCAGTGGTTCTCTGGTGGGACGCTACTGTGGGAACTCTTTGCCAGTGAATTATACCTCAATTACTGGACACATTCTCTGGATGAAGTTTGTCTCAGATGGCTCTATCAGTAGAAGGGGATTCCAGGCCACATTTGCTCACTGTAAGTAAATATTTGACTCCAGAAGAATTCAATATTACGAATCCTTTGGAAGATGGAAAAAGAAAGATATATGCTATGACTATCTAGGTTTCTTCTTTGAAAAATCAGTGAGCAGGTCTATGTTTCTCCTTTAATTTTAATATTATAGTATTGCAATATATCCATCCTCAACACATTTTACTCCAGATACATTGGACTACAAATCCCATTACACTAGACCAACAATTAACTGAGGATAAAAGACTATCTAGACCAACGTGTTTGAAGAACAGTGGATAAAGGACACTAATTATCACTACATAATTCTGAGGGTTTTTTTAAAATTAAAAAAAAAACCACACATAGTATGGATATAATAAATTTACCACTGAAGACTGAGGGAATTTGAAAGCTTCAATAAAACTAAGAAGAAAGCTGTACTTAATCTTGCACAAGTGTATCAGATTCAAAATCTCAGCCATGTATTTTAAGATTAGTCTCAGATGAACTATAGATATTCACTGATTTTTGTTATAAGTATGTAATCTGTGAATATTATTGTTAACATAAAAGAATCTTATGCAGTGACCTAAATTCTATTTGATTTTTTGTGGTTAAAATATTGCACTTGGCTCTTCAGCTGTCTTGGTGCAAGAGGTCAAAGCTGCAAATATTAACATATACTATATACAACTTCCAAGGAGTTGCAGTATTTCAAGTGTGAAAACTTTTCTCTTACCTAGCCTTCTCACAACAATGTGGCTCCTAGATGTGTTGAAGTAGAACTCCCAGAATTCTCACCCAGCATGGGCAATAGCGATGCTAACTGGAAATTCTGGGAACTGTAGTCCAACATAATTAATGGCCATTGAATTGGAGGAGGCTGCTCTTAACACTTTCACTCCATCATGTCTCCATTTCATGATGCATTTTCTATGTTTTTGACTTCTGCTTTGATTTTTGTACCATTTTCAGGGCCAAAATATCAACCCAGGGAAATTTATTGTATAATGTACAGGGAAATATACTGTCTACTCATTTGAGTTAGCTGGTGCTAAGGAGAGAAATATCTGATACAGCATATTTAATTAATTAATTAATTAATTTGTATGCTGCCCATCTCCCCCAGTGGAGGAGGTTTTCATAGTTGCTGAGAATAATCGAGAGACCAATAAGTATAGTGCAAATAAGTAACATTCCACTTTATAGAGGATCCTCCTGCTTTTGAAGAGATATTAGTCAGTACCCCCTTTAAAAGAACCTTCTGTTAATATCGTGTCTCAATTCCCCTATCCTGGTTTAAGATGAAGATGGAAGATCACCATGAGCCTTGAAGTTGCACATCAGCAGTCAACATCAGGACAGCAGACTGAGCTGCCTAAAAGTCACAGTCCCTTGTACTGGGTGGGCTGACATGCTTAGTGTCCAACCTAGAAATGAAGAAGGAACACGTCCCTATTTAAGTGCCCTGGAGCAAACCCATAAGAAGCCTTCAATTAATCACTTTGCTGCCCAAGTGACCCATTCAGCATCCTGGCTGAGGACTTCCTTTCTTCTCTGCTGCCATCCAAGGCACACAGAAGGGGGCCTCCTCAGTAAATCAGGATTGTGTCACAGTTACTGCTAACAAGTTTATTGAGTAGTTTATAAATAAATGCTATATTAAAAATCTGTACAATATACAGATGGATACAATGTATACATTAAAATATGGATCCATTTTGCTATCTCCTTTTTAGTATTTGGAAATAATATTGTCGGAACAAATGGACAAATTGCTTCTCCACTGTGGCCTAGAAAGTACCCTCACTTCTCCAACTATCAGTGGATGATAACTGTGAATGAAAGGCAAGTTATCCATGGTGATATCTCACAAATGGATATTGAGGATTTGAGTAATTGCTATAAAGATAAGTTGAAGGTAAGAGTCCATCGTGTGCCTCTCCTTTTTTAGTGACAGTATAGTGCAGATAAGTAACAAAGCAAGTTTTGCTTTATCAGTAGTTTCAACATCCCAATATGGATAGACTATCAGATACTGCCTTAAAGCTGCAAAAGACATTTTAAGCATAAATAATTACTTGTAAAATATGTAATTTTCAGATGCTTTCAGTAGCCAATTAAGGCCAATTATTCACTTTTCTTTGCTAGTACAGTTTAGACATAAACCATGGGCATTTTAAAAATAATTCCAAATCCTGATCATCTATTTCTTCTGCAGATTTATGATGGACCAAATACACATTCTCATCTCATTGCAACATATTGTGGGATAGCACTGTCTTCTTTCACCTCCTCTGGAAACTCTGTCACTGTCCAGTTCATCTCTGATTATTCTGTAAATGGAAAGGGTTTTCTTTTGGATTGGTATGCAATGGAAACGCCAACGAATGTTGAAAACAACTTGCCTATAGGTTTGTCTCCCATCCCCATCTCTATAGTTAACCTGTTTTGGGAGGACAGAGAGAAATGTGCTGCATTCTCTGTATAACTTTTAGAGTATCTTTTGTTGGTAGTGTTGGAAAAGATGGCTCCCTACTTCTTTCTACGTGGAGAAGAGCACTTGTGCAGGACGAAACATGATCCTCATCTGTGGCCTCCCCATGCACTGAATGCTTCTTTTCTCTGTAGTACAAAATGGGGAATAACTGCTTCTCCCACCCCTACCTTTGTGCACAGAAAGCAGGGGACAATTGGTCCCAGTTTCTCTCTGCATGGAAAAGGAAGACATGGGAAGTAGTAGCCCCATTTTCAGGCAGGTAGGGAGCAACGTGCTTTTTTCCCCCATGTACCTCCACGCACTTCTCCTTTATGTGAAAGTTGCATGACTTCTAGTATATACTTTGGGGGCTAGTGGGCCAGTTTGGAATTTTAAAAACATTTTCTGGCCACTTTTGCAAAACGGCTTGTTGAGAAAATTTTCCCATTCATAGATGGCTGCCATGGAGACATAACTAATTATGAAGCTCTGATTTATCAGAATAGTAACACAGATGAGGCAAAGAAACTGGGAGACATCTGCTAAAACAGGGGGTCCCCCAAAGGTGCTGCTTGGGGAACCCAGGATAAATTAATATACATAGGAAGAAGAGAAACAAATGGTGCATCTATTAAACTGGAACAATAAATCTCTCTCTTTTTTTCTATCTCCTGATTTGGTGACAGGTGCCTGTGGAGGTCTCCTAACAGCCAGTGAAGTACCTTTATTCCTGTTCTCACCAGGCTGGCCCTCAAAGTACAGAAATTTTGCAGATTGCACATGGCTTATCAGAGCACAAGGCTCAACAGTGGAGTTCAACATCCTGGCTTTGGACATAGAGTCTCATGGCTCATGCAATTATGATAAACTTGTCTTCAGAGATGGTAAGGCACACTTGCACCTCTATAAAGTGAGGATTGCAATGGGAGATCTGGATTATGAAATCTCAATAATGATAATATAAAAATGCATCTTTGCCTGCTCCTGCATATCTACCTCTGGCTTGGCTGGGCTGGGCTGCCCAATGCTAGAATATCATTAAAATGGAGTTCAACCATCTACCAGTTCTTGGGCTATGTTGCTCCCAGTGGAACGTATAAATGACCCCTCAGACAACTCTTACTCTGAAAATTGAATGCAGAATGATATTTCGTTTCTATCAGTCCCTAGAATCCAAATGCATGGTATGTTCTAGAATTTGCAGTTCTCTTCTGAACACTGTCACCATAATGGAATGATCAGTATGGCTTGGAATAAGTAACATGATTTGGCTGCCAAAAACAAAAAATGGTGAAAGAAGTTAGAATTTCCGAGCACAATGTTACTTCTCCAAATCAAACATGGTTCCTTTGACAAATAACTGGTACGGAAACTTAAAGAGCACGTCAGTTCATTCTGTCCCCTTTCTTTTCATAGGGGACAATGGTCTTGCACCAGTTCTATCCACTGTATGTGGACGTGAAGTTCCTGGCCCAATAAGGTCAACTGGGGATGCCATGTTTATTCAGTTCACTTCAGATTCAAGTACTACTGGTGCTGGATTTAATGCTTCTTTCCACAAAAGTAAGTACCTTTCTAAATTACACTTGTACTTCCTCTGTAAATTTAAAGAGATATGAGAGGAAGAAAGAACAGAAAGGAAACAATTGTGGTCTCATTTAATCAGGGGATATAGTCTTGAGCAGCAAGAATTCTCTCAACGTATTTCTTCTGTGAATCTGTTCTAAGCACAGATGAGCGCAGTAAGAAATGTGGTGGTGGCCCTGAATTTTCACAGATCATTGGCTCATAGTCAGTGAATCAGCCAAACAGGAGAAATCCAGTAAGTCAAGCCAAGCAAAATTGTCAAGGTGAAGGCAGTACTTTGGTCTGAAATCCAGAAGCTCAAGTCAGAGTTTGGCCATTCAAAATGCAAAATGGCTAGTCACAGTGGTTCAAAGAGTACAAATATTGTTGCCAGCACTGGGCTGTTCTCAGATTTGTACTGAAGGTTTACAGTAACAAATTCCCAGTTCCTCAAATCCCCCTCAAAAATAGAAATCCCAATCCTTGCAATAATGCAATTGTACCTACTATGGCCATCATTCCTTCCTAAAACATTAAGTGCAGGCCACAATGACCAAAATGTTGCACACAGCCCTTCCGGAAAAAGTGGATTCTCAACATATTTTTTAAAAATTATGCAAGAGTAAATGTCTAATTCTCTACATAAAACGACTACATGAACCTAAAAATATCTGGTCAGCGTTGGTTCAAAAATAATCCTGGTTTATTGCGGATACTTCTGTAAAGATTTGATACTCTTAATTGAGAGCAACATCAATTTTATGGAATTAGGTTATAAGTTAAATGGAATTCAGTTGTTTCTTGCTTAATAGGCTTTCATTCCTTTTATTCAGGTTGTGGAGGCATTTTGTATGCAGACAAAGGTGTGATCACTTCACCCAACTATCCCCAAAGCTATCCTCCAAATCTCAATTGTTCTTGGCATGTTCTGGTCCCGGATGGCTTCATCATTAGCATCCATTTTGAACAACCATTCCATGTACTGAATGATGATGCTTTCTGCAACCATGGAGATTATGTTGAGGTATGACAAATTTTGTTGTGTTCAACAACAACAACAACAACAACAACAGTTGCAGTTAATATTTTGCCCCTGTGTATCAGGCTTCACACCAGTCAAGGTTGTGAATCTCAGCTTTCCAAACATTTAACCCCTTATTCAAGACTTAGCATAGGGAACATTTTAGTAGGCAAGCTTTGGCTCTTTATTGCAGACAAAAATGAGGGCTCTATATCAGTTTCTCAACCTTGCAACTTTAAGATGTGTGGACTTCAACCCCCAGAATTCCCCAGCCAGCCATGTTGTTTCCATGCTGGCAAGGGAATTCTGGGAGTTGAAGTCCACACATCTTAAAGTTGCCAAGGTTGAGAAACACTGTCT